AATAGACCCTTTCAGAATTAGCGAAGTGAAGAACAAGGTGAAGAACAACAGGCAGGAAACAGTTGCTTTTAATAACCCAAACGTTTATGAAAACTTGCATAAAATATAAACAATATCAAAATGATACGACATACAGTACATTCAAGCGTTTTGGGTACATTTGGGTGATATAAAGCTACTGTTTCCGGTCTATTGTTGTTTCGACACCAAATACCAACAGCCAGATAAAAGTAAACAGAAGAAATGTTAGACATTCATTTAAATATGCCTTAGAGAGATGTCAAAAAAAGTTTTGCACAAGATAGTGAATTCAAAATGAGGTTATGTAGATAAGTTTGTGAATGAGACTTGTCACGTTTGCGTTGCGTTTACGCATAGATAGAGGTGTCACTATGACAGTATATTGAAAAATCTATAATTTGCAAAGACGAACCAGAGCAAGAATAAAATAACAGCAGCAGTGTCTTACCTCCGCGAAGTCGAAACAACCACAAGCCTAACGAAACGAACTGTTTACGCAGCAAGCAACACTGTTGCCCATAGTAGTCTCATTGCAGGGTACTACGTGCGTCCACTTCTGCTGGCGAGAGCAGGGGGTATCGCCGCTCAGGCGCTGAGGGTAGGCCACTATCTCCACACAGACACTTGGCGGGGAGGCCTACCCGACGCGCCGCAGGCGTTGTCATTCGGAATCGAAAAAAGTGGCTTTTGGACTTCCCTAACCAACATTGTTTCTATGAAACAAATTGAATGGAGGTTACAAAGATTAATCTGCCTGAGTTCTATTTATTTCCAAATATGAGCATATGACACACAAAAGATGGTTCCCGCTGTGCGCGTTTTGAGAATAAGTAAGGAAGTGTGGCACGAAACCAGTACCTAAAGTTCACTGATTTTGAAAATTGGCAGTGCAGTTCGACGTAAATGACCAAAAGTAACACCCTTTTTTTTGGGGGGGGGATAAAAGATTATCAATCTTCTTGGTGCAAATTTTAGAAAATTTAAAGCGGTGGTAAATTAAGGCATCGGAAAACTGCCATAGGTTCTTAAACACCCCCGTCGTGAAAAGTGACTTTAGCTGGCCAACAAAGTTTGGTGCCTGAGAGAAAATCATTTAAGCTTCCTCAAGGGACCTTTACAATAAAATAAAATAAAATACCTGGACCACTGTGACGCCAACTCAAATTCTATCTGATGATTCCACGGGCTGCACGGCTGATGTACAGGACGAAACGACTCCAGGCTCCAGGTCGATCTTCCTGAAACAAACCAAAGAGTTGATTTTAGGGTCAAAGAAACAGAATGAAAAGAAGACAGGAAGCACGCAATTTCGACAGAGAAGGTCAAAGGCGACCGTCCCAGACCAATCCCAACCATTTCCAGCGATTTTAAAAAAAATTGTTTCGCAAAATTTACAAAGGCTTTTGTGATTTAAGTATGAAAATTGTTAGGTCCGGATATCAACGGAGGAGTGTTTGAATCAAGAGGGGTGAACCAGAGGACCACAATACTACATTTGGTTCCGTTAGAAACCACCCCTTTCCAGAGAAACTTGAGTTTTAAAGGTGGTCTTTTGAATGTGGCGGTCAGCGTACGATGGGCTGCCTACCTCGCAGGCGAACATGTCCAAAAACAGGCGCATCTCACTTAAAATCACTTAAAATAGCCCGGCAGCGTGAAACTTCGACGCAGAGATTGAAAACGGATTCAGTCTGGCCAACCCCAACTATTTCCAGCAATTTTAATTTTTGTCATTTTTGGGAAAATTTACGAAGGTAAATAGCCTTTATTCTTTTAGTGAAAATTGATGGGTGCGGATTAAGACGGAAAAGTAGTCGATTCGACAGGGGTGACCCAGGGGACCACAAAACTACTTTTGATTCATTTTAAGGGGTGGTCTTTTGAATCTGGCGCGCTAGCCGGTCCAAGAAAAACACGCGTAACTCACTTAAAATGGCCCGGCGGCGTGAAATTTCGACGGAGATATTGAAAGAGGATGCTGTCG